TAGACTGCACTTTGTGGGGCGGGGGGAGCCAGGGCTGCGCTCTGGGCAGCTAGCCCTAGCCCCAGCCGCAGCCTGCAGTTCAGCCCTGGCTCTACCTGCCCTGCAGAGCACAACCCGGCAGCTGAGGCTAGCCACCCGGAGTGTAGCCCTGGCTCTACCCACACCACAGAGCGCAGCCTGGTGGCCGGCGTCTGGGGCTAGCCTACCACAGCGCAGCCTGGCCTAGCCTGCCTTGCACACCCATGGGGGCACACACTTGCTTCCATGACCCGGACCAGTGGTGCACGGTAGCACGTAGCGGCGGAGCCCCCCTCCCTAAGTCCCGTGACCACCCCCCACTCAGGCTGGGCAGCTTGTCCTAGTCCTAGCCCCAATCTCTCCCTTGCTGCAGGGGGTGTTGATCTGCACCCCCCCCACGCCCCTTGCCTCCCACCTTCGCCCACCACAACAGACTTACTAGCTGGAGGCAGCTGTGTTCAGCATTGAGGACAGCTGCCTGTTAAGTCTGTGGTCGAATCTTTGCATCCGATTCAGCCTAATTGGATCGGGATTTGAATCACTGAATCGTATCACCGTCCCTCCGAATCGGCCGAATCCAAATTGAATACTTACCGCTTTGCATGGGCCTAGTGGACGAGGTGTGTGCACAGCACGGTGATTGGTGTGTTCTGCGTAACAGTGAATGATGGCTGTGGTATAAAAGGTGCCTGAAAGACGGGTACAGAGAGTCTTTGTGAGGTGATTTCATTGCGACTTGGAGTGAGTGAAGAGGAGTGTGGAGTTGCCTGTCCTCCATTAATTGGTGTTAGTCATGGGTCTGAGCTATCATTGATTCCTGTGGATTGAGTGGTGTAGGGATTTGGTGGTTGGGGAGACTTGCCTCAGGAGAGGTGATGCTGAGCGACGGCCCACCCATTCTTCTGCAGACCATTTGGTGATATATCACCTCATCCTGAATAAGTGAGGTGCCAATTACCCAAGGCAAGTGGGAAAGGCTTAGGAAGCTTCACCAGCTCTGTATCATCCCTGAGGGGGAGAGCTGTGACAGGACAAGTCACCACCATCTGGTAAGCTGAGGTTGTGGTTTTTGTATATGTACGGTAAAAGCTTGGTTATCCAGCATGAGTGGGGACTGCCAAGTGCCGGTTATGTAAAAACGCCAGTTATCTAGAAATACCGGGGGGGAGGGTCTTGCACATGGCAGTGGTGCAGGGTGGTTGCACATGGCTTGCACAGGGTGGTGGGTGGCAGCGGCATGGTGCCGGTTAATAGAGTACTCGGGATAGTTGAATATCAGATAACAGGGATTTTACTGTATATTCTTGCTGGCTTCTGTTTGTTTAACACTGTTCATAATATTACTCTGTTATAAGCTGTTCTTTAGTCTTAATACAAGCTGTTTAACCGAACCACTGCCTGAGTGGACCATGGTTTTACTGCACGTTTGGGTGGGGCTGGGCTGGCGCTCAATGTCCAGAGGAAATGAATCCTTAGGGGCGGAGAATCCTCAGGGAGGAGTGGGTGACCTGTTGCATTGCCCCTCTCCCTACACTGGGAAGAGGGGAAAAAAAAAAAAAAGGTAACAGCATAAAACCTGTTTTCTCTAACCTTTCTCAGGTGTCTGTGGTTTGGAAAGTGGAAAATCCCCAGGTGGGAGAACAAAGGTCGAATGTTAGTGGTTGCTTTTGGGTGGCGACAGAGTTGGGAGGATGGGGGTGAGAGGGGGGGATGCATTCTTGCTGCCAAGTGGTTCTTAACTGGGAAGACTGTCTTGAAGTAAATGCAGAAAAAGATCTTCCATGATCTGGAGAAAAATCCAGGTGCAGGAGGGAGGGCTTTGTCTTGGACGACTTGGGAGTGAAGAGGGGAAATGGGCCTGGAAATGTGTGTAGGCATGCATTTGTTTTGTTGAACGGTATGGGCTCCTATACATGTTCAGGGAGGCTGCTCTGATGCGCTGTAACTACAGCATGTCGGAGCAGATTCGATTAATTGAGTCTGCTGAAGTGTGGTAATTGCTGCGCTCTAATAAACTCCAGCATCATGTGTATCAGTGTCCTTGCGCTGAAAAATGGCAATGGGGTGCTTTAAACAAAAGCTCATTCAAGGAGCTTTAGTTCAAAGTGCCCTGCTGCCATTTTTCAGCTCAGGGATGCTGATGCACGTGATGCTCTGGGCATTTTTAATTAGTGTGGCTCTCAGAGCTGTGCTAATTAAAGACCCCTTCCCCCCCCCCTTTGCAAAGCCTGGCAGCCTGTTAGCATTCACTATCATGCGTCCTTGAAGAGAAGGGTGTGATTAAGTTGCTCTGACTAAAGGTAGCTTAAGAGCATATAGACCCAGAGTGCAAATTTTGAATAGAGCAGTTGTAGGAGCTTCACTTCTCTTTATGTTTATATCCCATCACTCTAATGTTTCTTCAGCTTAATCAATTTGATAACTGGTTAAAGTTATAGAACAACACTTCACTGTGACTAAAAACTAATGCAACTTTCCCTTTCTCAGTGTGCATGAGAAGGACTGCCTTTCTCAAAACAGATATCCATTATGTATCTCTAGATCTTAATACACATAGGAGTGTTTGCTCATCTTGCCCATTGTACTGTCTTAAGCTCTGCCTAAATTTGAATCGCACAACTTTAACTCGCATTTGCTTTTGAACTGCAAAATCTTATGCTACTGTCATGAAAGAAAGCAATAAATTTATGCTGGATCAAAATAAGCTAATTGACTGTCTGAATTGATGTGACGGATTTTGATGAGTATCTGTGCTGCCTTTATGTCTTACTTTGCCAATGTGGAAAAACCTTTAAACAGGTGGAACTCCGTAGAGACAAATGGAGTTCTTTTTAAAATTAATTTTATTGCATTACTAGCTTGTGTTT